ATACACCGGTTGCTTTTCAACATCTTATGAATGATTTTTTTTGTGAGTTTTTAGATGATTTTGTCATTTTCTATTTAAACAACATTCTAATCTATTCTAAGAATATAAGAAAACATGAACATCATGTTTGTCACGTGTTATAGAAACTTAGATATGCAAGATTATATGTGAAGTTGGAAAAGTGTGTATTCCACATTACTCAAGTTGACTTTTTAGGATACATCATTTTTAACAAAGGTCTTATGATGGATCCTAAGAAGGTCCAAACTATCATAAATTGGAAGATTCTATGAATAGTATGAGATGTGCAATGTTTTTTGAGCTTTTCTAATTACTACCAAATCTTCATCGGAAACTTTTCTCAAGTTGTAGCTTCACTTACATGTTTGACTTATAAAGATAAATTTAAGTGGAATAAAGAAGCACAAGCATCATTTGATGATTTAAAGAAGGAGTTTACTTATGTACCAATGTTATATTGCATTGACTTTTTCAAGAAATTTTTTATGAAAATAGATGCGCGAGACTTTGCTATAGATGCCATATTGTCACAAATAGGAAAAAAAGACAAACTCCACCTGATAGCTTTCTATTCCAAGAAATTTTTAGTAGCCAAGATTAATTATAAGATCTATTATAAAGAGCTCGTTGTAATTGTGGATTTATTTTAAAAATGGCATCATTATCTAAAAGGCGCTTCAAGTCCAATCATTGTATATATGGATCATAAGGATGTCAAATAATTTATGTTAGTATGTGATTTGAATCATTCTCAAGCCTATTAGAGCATGTCTTTATCGAGATTCAATTTCAAAATCAATGATCGACTCGAAAAATAACAAGGTCTATTACACGCCTTTTCTAGACATTTTTATCTTGCACTAAAAGAAGGAGATGCATCTTTTGATCAACAAAGAATGATTCTCTTGAAGCCCAAGTATTTTCATCTTGGAGCAATAAAATCAACATTGACTATTGATTCAACCTTTGTTAAGTAAATTCAATCAAATATATTCTTTGATCTTCTTGTTTATGATATCAAGAACACTTCTTCTAAGTCCTATGACACTTCAAAGTTTGAGTTCAAGAACCTAGTATAATTCAAAGATTTCCTATATATTTCAAAAGGCGAGACATAATTACATGTTCTTTAAACTCATCATGATTTTCTAATACTTAGACATTTTGGATATAATAAGTCTTTAGAGCTAATATCAAGAGATTTTTGGTGGCCTCAAATGAGGAAGGCAGTCAAAGACTTTGTACAATCATACAATACTTGTTGAAGATCCAAAACTCCTTGCCATCGACCTTATGGACTTCTTCAATTGTTACCAATTCCAAAACAACTATGGTCTTTTATTTCTATGGATTTTATTACGGATCTTTTAGTCACAAGTTCATATGACTCTATATTTGTAATCATAGATTGCTTCACCAAAATGGCACATTTTGTATCATGTACAAAATCTATTTCACATAAAGAAACAGCAAAGCTTTTCATTAACAATATTTATCGCTATCATGGATTACCAAATGATATTATATTAGATAGGGGGGCTCAATTTGTATCAAGATTCTAGAAAATCCTATTCAAGATTATAAAGGTGGATATAAAGCTCTCTTCAGCTTTTCATCCTCAAATTGATGAGCAAACAAAACAAGTGAATCAAGTTTTGAAATAGTATTTGAGGTGTTCCATCAACTATCATTAAGATGATTAGACATCTCTCTTCCCATTGGCAAAATTTGCATACAATAATTTAGTACATTCTTTTACTCAACAAACACCTTTCTTTGCCAATTATGGTTATCATCTATGACTTAATATTTTTGACTTTTCAAAAGTTGATAATCTTATGGTCGAAGATTTATCAAATTATTTGTCAGAGCTACATGCAACAATGAAGACACAATTAAAGAAAGTTCAAGAATAATAAAAGACCAATATGGATGCCTATTATAAGGAGCAACCACAATTCAATGTAAGTGACAAGGTATGGTTACTTCATCACAATATCAAGACTACTTGTCTTTGTGATAATTTGGACTATTGTAGACTAAGACCTTTTCCTATTTGTGAACAAATCAATCATGTTGCTTATTGATTACATCTACTGAAGTCTATGAAGATCCATCATGTATTTCACATGTCTCTTCTTGAGCCATATAAGATAGTGAATATCTTGGAAAGAAGATAAATGCCACCTCTTCTTGTAGAGGTGGATAATAATCAAAAGTTTGAGGTAGAAGAAGTCTTAGATTCAAGGCAGTATCGAAATAGGTTGAGATATCTTGTTTATTGGCATGGATATGATATTAGTGAAGGCACATGAGAGCTATTAAAGAACCTTGCAAATGCAACAAAGAAGATTGAGGTCTTTCATCAACAACATCCATCAAAACAAAGATGAAGAATTGTAAAGATCCATAAAAGATGATAATTGCTCCTCGTAGAACTCGTTCCTAGAAAAGAAGGTAATATCATAGACATATACATTTATTCCAATAGTTACTTATATGATTAGGTAGAAGTAGGTAAATATAGATTAATTTCATAAAGTCCTCTTGAGAAGCTTCCTAGAAGCTTGATAGACATGGTTTTGACTTTAGATGTGTTTGTAGGTTAGAAACTTGGCCAAGAAGATAACTACGTGTTGGTAGCTTATAAAACAAGTTAACTCCATGTAGTAGCTTGTAGAACAAGCTAACTATGTGGTGCATACATAGATAACTTGTCTTGCAAGTTAAGACATGTGGCTAGCAAAGTCAACATGTTTTGAAGGTCCTATAGGACATCGCCACGTAGCTCCTAGTTAAGAATATATATAGAAGCAAGAGTGAAGCCTTCTTCACTCTTGTCAATGTCTTTCTAGTCATTAGTCTTATTTCAAGTTTTTTTAGTTGTCTTGTTTTTGGCAATAGCCATTCCAATTCTATATTATATCATCTTTGGATGACTTTCTAGTTCCTTACAGTGACATAAGAGTGAATTGAGGATATTCTTTTTTCAAGATTCATGTCCTTGAGACTTGGATGTGTCAGTAGATATAATAAGTAAAAAATACAGAAATTAAGGGCGTGCTTGTAGCTTGAGCTTTTTTTATTATATAACACTTGACTATTAGGCCTTTTTTGTAATTCAAAATTGGTTTTTTAAGACTAGAGAGAAAAATAAGTCAATGAATTAATCAATACTTTCTTCAAGGACCAATTTATATTTTGAAGTGATTTATTTTATTTTTTATATTTCAATTATTATTATTCAAAATAAAAAATTATTATGTACTCAATAAAAATAGCTATTAAACTTTTAATCTTATCTTGATCAAAGATATATTTTATAAAATCAATTCAAAATAGATACTTTATAAAGTATTTAGAAGATATAAGAGTAGAAGTATAAAAAGAAAAAAATATACAAGTTTGTAGATTATTATTACAAGGTTATATATTTATATATATATACATTATTTTATTTATTTATTTTATAAATTAAAATTAAAATAAATTTTATCTAAATAATTTTTTAATAGATCTTAATTTAACAATCATATATATATATATATATATATAGTTGTTAAAGCTACACTCCAATTTTGTGAATGCCAAATCCTCCCTTGCCACCTCATAATTTATTTTGTAACTATCTACTATCTCTAACTCCGACTACTATTTCTTGTTCTTAGCCTAATCTTGTTTTTATCTTTAAAAATAACATAGCTATTCTAATAATAAGAAGATTATGTATTTTTGGATCTACAAGCAACTTTAGAGGTCAGAGTCTCTAAATTTGTTTAATTATAATATTTTGTAATGCATCATTTAAAATAATATATATATATATATATATATATATATATCATGATTGTTTTTATAATTAATATCTTTAATATATCTCTCTGTACAAGTTGCTAAATGATCAAGTTACAAATAAAATATTTTAAAATTTCAATTTAAAACTTAACTTAGACATTATTCTTGATTGTATTAAAAAAAATTGATAATTTTTATTCAAATTAATCTAATACCTTCTCTTACAACACTTTAAATAAAACAACTGGTGTAGCCATCTCTAATTTAACATAAACCAATAGACCTAGGTCACTCTTTTGTTATTCTAAGACTAATCTCTTAAATGAATTTTGTGACATGATTGATTGGCTAAAAAACATTGTTTTTAAAAAGAATAGACCTAACTTCTTCAGAAGTATTAAGATTTGTAATAAATTAAAATACAACATAAAACAAAACTTATAAACTTTTCTTTTCTTTTCTTTTATTTTATTTGTTAATAATATTTTATTTTATTTCCTTAGGATGCATTTAAAGCTATAAAATCTAAAATTTAGACTTGTCATTTGAATTCAATCAAACTTATTTATTTTGAGAAAAAATGTATATAGGTTTAAAAATTGTTATTCTGTAATAGTACAATCTAAATACAAACTTCAAAACCACATAAAGTAATATTACTAACAAGTAAAAACTATTTGATGAACTATGAGTTCTTTTAAACAGATCAAATGGAATTGATTTGAAAAACATTGATACTATCAGCAACTCGTACATTCTACTCACAACATATTTAACACAACCACATATCAGTCACATAAACAATTATGTATTAGGAGTAGGATAAATCAGAGTACAAATAATCAACGAGAAGATAATATAACTTGAATAAAAAGCACAAAGGTGTTCATTCTAAAGACCTTCAATGAATTGGTTAAAAAGTTCAAAACAAATTAGAGATTGAAGGCAGCTTGTCCCTTATGACTTTGCCAATCTTTGTTGTATGTCAAAGTTTTTCTACCTACAAAGTAATGATTCAATTGCATGAAATTAACACAAAGTTTTGCTCAAACTACAATCCATCCTGTTCTTCAGTGTCTACGTGTGTATGTTTTATATTATACCTTCGGTTTTTAGGGTCAGTTTCAAGGCTTTTCTTAAACAGGCTTTAAGTTAATCCTATAAATTTAATACACATAAAAAAATGTTTGCAATTGTTCGAGGATAGTTCCAATAGTTACACAACACAAAGAAAGGTAGTGAGGACGGAGGTAAAGATAGACCTTCAAACTCTTGAAATAAAATGCAACTACGGCAGATTTGGAAAGATTTTCTGTTTCAATTCTCAAATTAAACGAAGTTATCCAATCTAAGTCAAAAGTATTTGCTATCAACTCACTTATGTCCTATTGCCGTAGCAAAAAAACAAAAAAACAAAAAAAAAAAAAAAAAAAAAAAAAAAAAAAAAAAAGGATCTTCCCACAAAGTTTGAGATGAGACATTACATATCGTATTTACATAGCGAATCTACTTCATATACTTATTTAAGAACTTGCGATGGAAGTCATTTCGGATTGTGTCATTGATGAAGCGTTTGACTGGCTTCGGCTCCCCACGTGCTTGATTTTTAAACACAACATCATCGTCCCACCTACAAACAAGCATCATCAACAAGGATACATAAGTAACAAAAATACTCAAAATAATCTGAAAAACATGCAACAAATTCCAAATGATATGCTTATCAATACTTCAACTAGCACAAACGATAGAGAATACTAGTCTATTGCCGAGTACTGCTGCACATGCGAAGAAGGTGAGATACAATTGTAAATGTCGACATCAACGGGCTACTTAACTAATAAATATTCGTATCACGTTCCTAATCGAAAGAAAAGATACTGCACGATAGTTAATAAAAGTATCTTTTAACATACCTGCGTTTGACAGCAAATGACCCTGTGGAATTGAGCAAAGGGTTGCCCCGAATAAGCTCAGATTCCTTCGCTTTCATTTCCTCCTCTTGCAGCTGCCGCTCCTGCCAAAATAAACACCAAAAATTAGTTGCAAACAAAAGGTCTTCTTGTGATCAAGTCGTTCCAAATCATACATGAAGAAAATCCTATGAAGTTGAACGTAAGAACGATATTTAAAAACATGAAAAAATGAATCGATCAATGCAAACAAGACCTTGCGCAACTTTTCTTCTGCTCGCTCCTTCTTAATACGTTCTAGCTCCGCAAGAAGTTCTGCAGTATCATCTTCATCATCACTGCAAATTTAACAAAACCCCCAAAAAAATTAATATTGTTAGTCCACATGTTTCAGAACGTGGGAATACTAGGTGTAACTTTGAAATTGAACCATCTGATAAGATAAACAACAGATTATAGCTCAATTGAGGAAATGAAAGCTAAGGAATCTGATTGAAGCTCAACATGCCTTTCATCACTGTCACTTGGAACCTCCACATCAGAATCGTCAGCATCTACGTTCTTTATAGCCGCCCGCTCTGACCTCTCTTCAGTGTCTCTCTTTGAACCATCCAGATACCCAGCAGTAGATCCCTTCCTGCGATCTCTATCGTCTGAAACCCAACATAGACACAGTCATGATTCCTAGACTCTGCTACCGGGTAGTGAGCACAACAGTGACAGTCAGCTGCTAGAAACAAAATCTCCCACAAACAGGGAAACAAAAGCATAAGTAACTATTACCGTAGCTCTTTTCCTTTGAGGAAAAATGTCGGTGCTCGCGGTCCTCGAGCTCTGCCCTGAGGTCCCTCCTTCTAATTTCCTCTGTGGTGTCTTGTCCATCCTTCCTGAAATACTCGAATATGTGAGTCGCAAAACACATAACAGCGAGAACAGTTGTGTACATACAAACTACAAAAGTAAACAACTTTCAGAAACCCTAAAACCGACATCTCTCTAATGCAGGAAGAAAAAAGAAATCTCTCCTGTTGCTGACATTACCCTACTTAATTCGACTCAAGATACGCCACGGCTTCAAAAACTTGGCACAGAACTAAGCTTGCATGAATGTGACAGAAACGACAAAAACTCACTCCCAAGGCTGAAAAAAAAAAAAAAAAAAAAAAAAAAAAAAACCCTAAGTATACCATCCATCCAACTAACCAATTCCGACTCCTGGCCCAACCAAGAATACTCCTTACGAACCAAAACCAAGACGCAAATCAAGCGGAATTGCGCAACCGCGTACCTGAGCTTCAGCTGCGTATGAGAAGCAAGGTCCCGCGACGAAAATTTCTGAGAGGGCCCAAACATGCGCACTCCTCCCTGCTCCGACCCTCCCTTCGCAGGGGCCCATGTAGGCCGCGCGGCGGTTGTCATGATTCACGACTCCGAAGCTTCCCAACTCACAAATTGACAACTACACTCCAAATCCGATTCCGAAATCGAGCTACGATCACTCAGACCCTCACGCACAAATTTCTCAGAATCAACAAACATCATATCGTGAGCTTTCCTTGCCTTTATAGACAAAACCCTAGAACCGCCCTCGATGTTCACACCGTCACGCCTCGAAGCTTCCCCTCCACGTCGGACGAACACGTCAGCATACCACCAACGGCCACTGATTCCATCGAAATTACTTAGAAAACGTGGATTTCAATATTTAAGGATTTATGAAGATATTGAAGTTGTACACATTAAATTCAAGAATTAGGGTCTTTTACAATGATTTCAGTTCTTAATATTTTATTTTCATTTTTATTTTTTAAAAAACAATTCAACATTTGATTAGATCTCTAAACACTGCATCTCAAAGATAACCATTACATTTATTTTCAACATATTTTGCTGCATATGTTTATATTTTTTTGTTTGTTTTCTTAGCCTAAAAGGTTTTTAATATATATATATATATATATATATATACATACATATTTTACCAAAGTACAGTATACAATCTTACGGATTTTGTTAAGAATACAAAAACAAGGGATCACAAAATCAAGATGTTTAAGAAGAACAATATACTAGACTTGAAACAAAATAGTACATAAATTGTTCCAAAAACATACATGTTGATTCAACTAAAAATAATCCATGAATTTTCTTTTCATTTATGTTGTTGCAATTAGGTTTTAAAGAAATTTCTAGAAGAAGTTTTGAGACATATATTATGACTCAGAAGTCCAAAGGATTTTTGTTCTGTAAAAACTTACATATTATAATATTATTCCCTTAAGATACATTTTTAAAAATTCTTAAAAATAACATATAATGTTAGTGGTTTTAAAGCAATATAACTAGAATTTGAGTTATTAGAAAATACCTACATATAAGTTGCTTATAACAAGATTATACTAAATATTTAAAAATCATAATTTTTTCCCAAGGATGTTCATATTAAGATAAAGATTAAATAATTGTGATATAAAACACTCTATTTTAGAATCTTGAAATCCTACAAATATCATCCAGTATTAAATAATACTATTGCACTGACATCACTGAAAAAAAACAATACTTTTCAAAAATATAATAGATTATTAGCAATAATATACATAGTATATTTTTCATATTATTTGTTGCATAATCTGGAAGAACAAACAAAAATTGAAATTATTTCATTAATGTAATTTGAAAAATTTAATCTAAATTTTTGTATGGTTGTATTCATCTTGTTTAATGAAGATATTATTGTTGTAAATCACAAACCAATTTTTGTCCCTCAACTGATATGAATGATGAATCTTAATTTTTTAAAATAAATGAATAAATAAATATATGTAAAAATATACAATAAAAAATATTTTTAAATGCTTATATATAATTTTATCTTTATTTATTTTTTTATATTTTTTAAATTAAATACAAAAGAATATGACTTTTTTATTATACATGATTTATTTAAGGTTTCTAAGAATAAAATATATAAAATTAAAAAAATAATCAAATCTATTAAAAAATTTATACATTTGATAAATAATTTTATATTAAATTTATATTTTAAACTCAATTTAATATTTTAAAGAATAATTTATCTATTTTTATTTTTATACTATAATTTTTAGATGAAATTTTTGATTTTTATTTTAAAAAGTAATATAAAAAAATCATTTCAATTTAAGTTCGTGGCAATATAAATATAAATTATATCTAATAATATGATAATTAAAATTTAAAAGTAATGAAAGTTTTTTTTATTAATTAAGATATATCATTACTTAAAATAAATTCAATTTATAATAAAAAAATCTACTCAATCATCTTTATAATGATTTATATCACAATAAATATATTTTAGAAATTTTTTATTAGTAATTGGTATTTATTTTATTTTATGTTTAAGTAATTCATTTCAAAAGAATTATATAATTGCTTAAATTTGTATTATGGAAATACATAAATTAACTAAATAAGAAATATTAGGTAGAAGACAAAAGTAGATAGATTTTATAATATCTTATGATTAAGCTTCTTAAAAGCTTTATAGACACAGTTTGGACTTTATATGTATTTATAGTTGATTGATAGATTAAAAAATTGACCAAAAAATTAGCCACATGTCATATATATTGGTAGCTTGTTGTCACGGACATACATATAATTACCTATATGAATAGATAAAAGTATGTAAAAGTAGATAAAAGTAGGTTAATTGTGTAATATCTTCTAGAGAAGCTTCTTAGAAGCTTCATAGACGCTGCTTTGACTTTATAGGAGTCTATAGTTGACTTTTAGGTTAGAAACTTGGTCAACAAGTTAGCCATGTGCCACACATGTTGGAAGCTTAAAGAACAAGCTAACTACGTGGTCCATCCATAGAAAACTTGCCTTGCAAGCAAAGGCATGTGGCCTAGAAAGTCAACATATATTGGAGGTCTTATAGAACATCGCCACGTGGCTTCTAGTTAGATAGTATATATAGAGGCAAGAGTGAAGCCCTCTTCACTCTTGTCAACTCCTTTCTTGCTTCTAGTCTAAGTTTCAAGGGTCTCTAGTTTTCTTGTATTTTGGCAATAGCCATTCCAGTTTCTTTCTTAATATACATATTTCTATTTTGTCCTATTTCTTTTTGAGAAAAGTCTCACTTACTCTTTAGCTTTCATCGAGTTCTTGTCCTTGACAGATTGACAAGAGTACACTTACAATATCAGAGCTTTGTCTTTTCTTGATTAAGAGTGGATTACCCCTTTTTCTTGATAAGACATAAGCGCATTAGAAGTTGCGGATTACCCTCTTTTAAACTGATATTGTTCTTAGTATTTTCTTTGTTATCAATTCCTCTCTTCTATTTGTTTTGAGCGTTATTAGACATCTTCTCTTTTCTAAGTGCTACTATGGCAGAGCTTGTTGAAATGAAGAGTGCAATGGCACAGATGCAAGAGCAATTGAGGGAGTTAATGCTTGCGATGCATCAACTCAATTTACCACCACAAGGAGCAACAAGAATGGTAGGAAGTGAAGATATAGAGATGATTGGGGCTGCTTCAACATCTACACCAAACCATGTCCCTTCTCCCAGAATGGAACACCCTTCGAGTGTTAGAGAACCGAGAGTTGCCTTGCCCGAGAAGTTTGATGGTACCAGATCCAAGTTTCGAGGATTCATCAATCAGGTCCAACTAGTAATTGAACTTCAACCCCAGAGCTATCCAACTCCAGGGTCACAAGTTAGATTCATTGGTACACTCCTTTCAGGTTCAGCATTGTCATGGTTTTCATCTTTTCTTGAACGACGAGATCCAATATTGGATAATCTGGAGGCTTTTTTGGCGGAGTTTCGATCCATGTTTGGAGAACATGATGCAATTCGTGTTGCAACCAACAAGATCCGTATTTTGCGACAAGGCAATCGATCAGTAACATTATATGCTTCGCAATTTCGACAACTTGCAACTGATATCAAGTGGGATGATGCCGCACTTGTGAGTCAATTTCTCTACGGATTACAATATGAGGTAAAGAAATTGATGCTTAATTTACCTGATCCTCAAACATTGAGTCAAGCAATTGACTTTGCTGTGAAGTGCGACAATCGACTTTTTGAATTTCGATCCGAGAGTCGTACAAGTGGGCCTCAACGTTACTACAATTCAATGGCAACACCGACGTCTCCTCAACACATACCTTCGGAAGTAGAGGATATGCAAATTGATGCGGTACGTTTCAAACCTCTTACTGAGCAAGAAAAGTCTCGTCGTCGACAAGGAGGATTGTGCTTATATTGTGGAGAACCTAAGCACACTGCTCAACATTGTCCAAAGAAGCGACGTAACTACAAAATGAGGAGTACGACTGTGAAAGAAGACAGTATGTCGGAAAACGAGTACGTCCAGCTACAATAGGGACCGTGCGGCTGGAATCTTGTACAACTTCTAATGAAGGTCCTATCCTCTCCTCAGAACCATCTCCTTGTTTTATAATAGATGTGCGTTTAGGACCTAATAATTACAAAGCCTCTGCCTTGATAGATTCAGGAGCCTCAGCTTGTTTTTTAGATGAAGAATTTGCTAGATGTCATAGAATATCATTAATACAAAAAACTAAACCTGTACACGTAGAAGTTATAGATGGTCGTCCGTTGTCTTCTGGAGATGTAACTCACGAAACACTTCCTGTAGATGTAGTAATAAATGGTCATAGTAGTTGCGTAATTTTTAATATAATTAGATCTCCCTCTAATCCAGTAATTTTAGGCTTATCATGGTTAGAAAAGTATAATCCTCGAATAGATTGGATTTCTCGTAAACTTGATTTTCCTCGGAGCATTAGTAACAGTTCTATTAATCAAGTAAAAAACCATGAGTCTAGTATAGAAAAACCCGCACTTATAGGTGCAAAAGCGTTTATACACGCAGCAAAAGAAGGATCAACTTTTGCTATTTATGCTGCACCTATTTCTGAAAGCGTAAAGACTTCAAGTGGCATTCCAAGTCAATATCAGGATTATCAAGACGTTTTTGAGAAAAAGAATGCAGATATTCTTCCTGAGCATCGCCCATACGATTGTTCAATCGATCTCAAGGAAGGAACTCAGCCACCATTTGGACCAATTTACAGTTTATCGCAAGATGAGTTGGCTGAACTCAAGACATATATTGACGAGAATTTAGCGAAGAATTTCATACGTCATTCAAAATCTCCAGCAGGAGCTCCAATTTTATTCGTAAAGAAAAAAGATGGATCTTTACGAATGTGTGTTGACTATCGAGGACTCAACAAGATCACAATCAAGAACAGGTATCCATTACCTTTGATATCAGGACTCCTTGACCAGTTAAATCAAGCTAAGATCTATACAAAAATAGATCTAAGAGGAGCATATAATCTAGTACGGATCAAAGAAGGAGATGAATGGAAGACTGCGTTTCGAACCAGGTACGGACACTTTGAATACAATGTCATGCCTTTTGGACTCACGAATGCACCAGCTGCTTTTCAACATCTCATGAATGATGTATTTCGTGAATTCTTAGACAATTTTGTCGTCTGCTATCTAGACGATATCC